GCAAGCACCTAAACCCTGAACCCCTACCAACTCTAAACCCTAAACGCCAACTTAAACCCTAAACCCTCAACCCCTATGCAAACCCTAAATCTCAACCCCAACACAAAACCTGAACCCTAAAGCCCAACACAAACCCTAATCCCTGAAGCCCAACACAAACCCTAAACTCCAACGCAAACCCTAGGCCCTCAGCCCCGAACACGAAGCGAGGACCTGGGGACTCGGCAAACCCTAAACCCTAAACCCTTTCGGGGAGGCCCAGAACCCTGAATCTCAAACCCTTAACCCTCGACGGCCGCGTTGCACCAGCCTCCACTGACTGCAGCCTGCAAACTGGGCACTAAAGGGTTTAGGGTTCAGGGTTTAGGGTTTAGGGTTTGGGGTTTAGGTTTTAGGTTCTAGAAACGTCGCGCAAGCGGCATACTCTCCCCGAGCTCCAGCCACAGATATTCGAGCTAGACTTTTGACATCAGGGCTGAGGCTCCAGGGTTTAGGGTTTAGGGTTTAGGGTTTAGGGTTTGGGGCTGTGGCTGCAGATTCGTCAGTTTCCACACAACCCCTCCCACGTGGTTTGGCTGGAGCCTGAAGACCCCTCGATGTCAGTGATATACCCCGGGGGTTTGTCGGGGGCCTTTCCTGCTGCAGTGCAGCAGCAGCTGCTGCAGTCCGTGCCGGGGTTGGAAGCGGCAGTGCTGCTGCGGCTGGCCTACGATGTGGAGTACTTGGTAGTTAAGGGCAGCGAGGTGCAGCAGACGCTGCAGACCAAGAATGTCGAGGGCCTCTTTGTTGCAGGACAAGTGCTGGGGACCACAGGTGCTGCTGCTGCTGCTGCTGCTGCTGCTGGTGCTGGTTTGGCTGCGGCTGGGGGCTGGCTAGTGATGCTGCACAGTCGTAGCAGCAGCTGCTGCTGCTGCTCTTTCTGCTGCTGCTCTTGCTGCTGCCAGCTGGCTGCCAGCCTTGCTGCCGTTGCAGCTGCTGGCCTTGTAGGTGGTGTTGCAGTTTCTGCTGCCAGGCTCTTGCTGCACCAGCTGTTGCGGCCGCTGCTGCAGCCGCCCCC